AGCAGCAGGTGCCTTCCTTCCAAGATGCAGATTGCCCGCTGCCTGTGACAATAGGTCAGCAGCTGGGTTTGCTGGATTCCTGATGTGTAACGTATAACGTACTGATAACATGGCATTCAAATAATTAGTTAAGACAGCTTATGGAGATGCCCGTGAGAAGGTAACCGGGAATGGTGGTACCCAGCTGACAAGCCTCGAAGTTGACTCTTCAGAGGTACCTTCAGGCCAGCCATCAAGCTGACACCCATCAGCCAACTTTCATGGTGCCTGGAGTTCAGGGCTGGGGCTGGCCGAAGTGGAGCTGCCTAATAATACCCCTGTCTTGGGAGGTTGCCCGCCACCCCACAGCTCAAGAACATAGACCCACCTGCCTGACCTGGGCTGCTGGATGGCTGCTTTCTTCCCTCCCCTCAACTTCTTCTGCCCCTAACACTGGACGATAGTGATGGGTATTATTCCTTATTTTTATTGTAACACTAAACTGTGTCCCCAGATTCTAAGTCTGATTAGTTGGCTGCTGATTTGGCATTACAGTCTGCTTACTACTTAAAAAAAAAAAAAGGCAGAAATATGCATTAATGGAATTCCGTAAGATTAGGGAGCTATGTCCAGCATGTTTACTAGGGACCTGGGTGGAACAGGGAAGTTGCAAAGCTGAGCAGAGTGGCTCATAGGTGGGTGACAGGTCAGGTTCAAATGCATCTTGATAAGCCAGCGCTCTGGGCCAGCACCAACAAGAGGACATCCCGTAGTGATTCATGTTAAGGCCTGCAGAAGCGAAGATGGGAGCGAGCAGGTTCTACTGTCCCTGCTTTGAAAAAGACGCTGTTTTGACCTTATTGAGACATTCGCTTATTACATTTAGGAGATGAGGTGTGATTTGTTACATGTGTGTTGTTTTAGTTAAATCCCCCTGCAGTGAAGGTTGTCATTTCCATTTTATAGGTGAGTTTTAGAAAGGTTAAGAAATGTATCCAGGGTATCCACATAGCTTTTGAGCATTTTGTGATATGGCCTCTGTGATGGGATCCAAGAAATGGTGTGTCTGAAAAGGAAGGGAGGGAGGGAGGAGAGAGAAAAGGAAGGAGGGAGGGAGAGGAGGAAGGAGGGAGGGAGAGACAGAAGGAAGGAAGGGAGGAATGAAGGAAAGAGGAAACTCAGATTTTATCGGAAGAAACCTGGAGGGTTGGTCAGTGCGTGGTCCGTGTTGTATTCTGGACAGTACATTTTAAGATGAAACACGCGCACACTTAATTGTGTGCAGAGTAAATATTTGTGGAAAAGCTGGGACGGTTGAAGGGAAAGCTCTGGCAGTATTCTCAAGCAGAAGCTGATGGAGACTGGCGGTCCCCTGCCCTGGGGGGAGGTCCGGTCCAGGAAGGAGCTGCTGTGCCACCATCAGGAGGAATGCACAAACATGCTCGAGCAGAAATGTCCCAGTGGTGCTTTCTTCTGCCACCAAGAAGCTTTTCTCTGACCGTCTGTGCTCGCTGTGTGCTGCTGGCATCAGAGGGTGAGGCCAGAACTGGGTGCACATCAGGAATATTACTGCTGCTCTTTGGGCGAAGAAGCATCCGTGAGAAGGAGGGTGGGGAGACCGGCTGAAGGCAGCAAAATCCCATCATCATCTTCCCAGCCAAGGGCAGGAGAAGAACTCGAGGACCCCTCTTGAGATGCGTTTTTTTCTGTTTTCTTTGGGGACGGGAGCGAATATCTCACTGACCTAACCGGAGAGACCAAAAGCCTACATTTACAACGTGCCTATTTTAGTTATTTTAAAATCAAGATTCTTTTTTTTTTTTTTTTTTGGTAAGTAAAGGTGGAGAAGTTATGGAAAGAAATCCGACTCTAACTATAAACCGAACAGATGGGATAGTAGGAATAATAACAAATTAAAGCAATATTGCAAGAACTCTCAACTTTCATTTAAAAATATATATGATGATGTTTTTCAACTTTTCACATTCAACCTATCGGTAGATCGGGTGACAAAATGAAAAATCAATTTCAGCTGTGTATATTTTAAACGTTTACCTAAACGATTTGGACTTACCAGCCCAGAAGTCCAGATGAAGGTATTAAAGTGCTATTTGTGTGTGTGTGTGTGTGTGTGTATGTGTGTTTTATGAATTAGAACTTTATTTCACATTATGTTATAGACAGGATGCAGTTCCACTTGGTGACATTTAGTGTAGAAAATGGAACTGAACGGTGATCTAATTAGAACAGTAAATAGTACGGGTTTAATTAGCTCGTGTTCCTGATGACGGAGTTGATCAGTTCCCAGATATTTACCCTTTCCTTTCGTTGGACTATTCCCAAAGGGTTGCCTTGAGCAGGACCGTGCCTGGGGTTATAAATAGGTAGCTTGGCAAGAAACCGTGAAACTCACTGACCGGTGAGTCTGGGGTGGAAATGATTGGAAAAATCCCTCCTTGGTTCATTATTCCATTTCACTTTTGAAAGCCCTTTCTACAGATCCCCCTCTTAATTTAGAAAAAAAAAATTTGGGTTAGATGAGGTAACATGGCCCAAGGGCTTAAGGAAGCCCATGTAATATCTAGTTCAGCTGTTCACTGTGGTTTTATTAGTATTAGGGTTTCCTTCATAAACATTCCTGTTCTCTGACTTACAGCTTCCCTGTTAAATTCTCTCTGACTTGAACTTTTCTCTGCATCGATGTGGTCTGTCTTTGCTTGCTTACAAATGTTAAATTCAAGTATGACAGTGTTTGCTTTAAAAAGATTTTTTGTTTGAAAATGCAGAGAAAGAAAAACAAAAGAAGATAAAATCACTCAGAGTCCTCGAACCTGGAAGTCACCATGGTGAACATTTTAAGTTAACTCACTCCTTTCTCCGTGCACTTACACGGTTACCTATATGAAAATGATGCAGTCTTCCCCTGTGCTCTAACAATTGCCTTTTATCCTCTTCTTCAAAAATAAAATTATTTTTGAAAAAGATATCCAAAAAATGCAAGGTCAGATAAAACTAACACCCATTACAGCACCCCGTGGGTTCGTCAGATAGAATGTTTTGTCTTATCAGCTTCAGATCTTTTATGAGGGTGAAGGGGCTATAGGACATTCAGCTGGTATCCCTTTGTTGTGGATAGCATCTGCTCAGAGTCCCACATCCTCTGTTCTCAGAGGCAGCTTGACCTTGAAAATGCCTTGGGTGTTTTTGTTTTAATGTAAATAAAGTGGAAGTTTAATGGAAATCTAGTCTTTTCCTTTATAGTTTCTACCTTTTTTTAAAATATAGAAATAAGGGTTTTATTGCTCACAATTTTTAGAAAAGTTGTTGGCTTAAAAAATATCTTTTTTTTTAATTTAAATTTTGTGTGTGTGTGTGTTCCAAAGTTCATTGCTTACTTTGTTGACCTGTCTAGGACAGTCTTGCCTAGGTCAAGTCTATAGACTGTTTATCTATAATTTTTCTACTCTTTTAGAGTCTCAGTGCTTTTAATAAAAATTTCCAATGTATCTGGAAATCATTTTGGTGTATTTTCTGAAAAAGCCCTCTTCTTTTTTTTAATTAATTTATTTCAATGGGAAGGGGCAGAGGGAGAATCTCAAGCAGACTCCACACTGGACATGGAGCCCGATGACCTTGGGCTCCATCTCATGACTCTGAGATCATGACCTGAGCCAAAACCAGGAGTCGAATACTTAGCCAGCTGAGCCACCCAGGCATCCTGGTTTTTGTTTTGTTTTTATAAACATTTGTCACTCTGACTTGTGGTTCCATCTTACCTCCTTATACTTGGGTCTGTTTCTGGATCTTCTTTTTAAAGAAATTTAATAGATTTTCAGTACTTATCACAATGCCAACTCTCTACTCTTAATTGAGGCAATTTCCCTTCTTTTACAGTTTTTTATTGGCTCCTGTAGACTTACTCCACCAGATGAACTTTGGAATCATTTTGTCAAGTTCAATAAAAATTCCTTTGGGGATTTTGGAGTTGTTATAAATTTATAGATTAGTTTGGAGAGAAGTAACATTTTATAGTTTCAAGTCTACCCATTTAGGACTATGTACGTTTCTCCATTTATTCAACAGAGCCTACTCTAGGCCCCTTAATGCAGTTTTGTAACTTTATGTAAGTAAGACATAATCATTTCTTCTCATATCTACACCTACATCTGTCTATATATTTTTATTTTTATTTATTTATTTATTTTTAAAGATTTTATTTATTTGACAGACAGAGATCACAAGTAGGCAGAAAGGCAGGCAGAGAGAGAAAGGGAAGCAGGCTCCTCACTGAGCAGAGAGCCCAATGCGGGGCTTGATCCCAGGACCCTGAGATCATGACCTGAGCTGAAGGCAGAGGCTTTAACCCATTGAGCCACCCAGGCGCCCTGTGTATATATTTTTAACTTATACCTGTCCTCCTCTTTTCTCTAGAGTATCCCAACATAAGTCAATGGTGGCCATTGCAGAAGAATAATTAAACCAAATTAATTATTTGGTTTAATTAGTCGACGCTTCTCTATTTTCTTGGATTCCCAAGGCTTTAGTTACATTGTTTTCTTGGGATGGGGCCCATTTCAGGAGATTTCACAAATCCTCATGCAAAATAATTTCCTTGGAGCGAGCGCCTATCTGCCTGACAGAAGGGCAAGGCAGGATTTCAGTGGTGAGAAGTCTTAGGTACAAGCTGGGGACCCTGCTGTGTCGGTTATAAAACATAACTTCGTCTATTTAAATTTTGGAATGATTAAATTTCAGAGTTACAACTGAGCTTAGAAGCTGCCTGGACAAAACCTTCATAAGGTGGAACGGTACTCACGTGTCACTAGTTTCCATATACAACTGTCGTCTGTGTGTGTGTGTGTGCGTGCGCGCGCGTGTTTAATGTAGCCATTCCAAAGCAAAGCACTTTTAGGCAACTTTCTGTCTGTGAACAACTTAGAATAAGACTGGAAAAAACTGGAAAAACGTTAGGAAGAGTCTAGCATACGTGTCTTCACTTACTGTGTTTTTTCACATTCTAGACCTCAAGAAACACGCGTTCTGATGAAGAGAAGGACAGCAACTGGGATGCTTGGGGCAGCTGGAGTGACTGCTCTCGGACCTGCGGGGGAGGGGCGTCATACTCTCTGCGGAGGTGCTTGACTGGGAGGTGAGTGGTGGTCTTATGGCTCTTCTCTGTGGATGTCAGTGCCTTTGAAGGATGGAGCTGGGGAGACAGCTTGGCTTCTTGGCTTCAGAAGGTACTGGGACGCTGATATGACATCTGCTGTATATAAACATCATCGTCCTCGGGGTACCATGTTTAAATAGCACTGGCCCCATTTTCACGAGAGTGACCTAGTCCATCCACCTGAGACTCCCAGCTCAAAGGAGCCTGGGGCACTCGACACTTCAAGCTTTGCAGGAGGGAAGGCCGGCATGTTAAGTCACTCGCCCCAGATTGTCCAGACTAGGGATAATGGCTCATGTCTTTTGAATTCTACCCCTAAGTCATCTCACTTTGTTCACTTTCTCTGAGCAACCCGTCGATTAAGAAGGCAATGTACGTTCTGTTTTCACACCTTAGGTACGCTTATATTACATAACGTGTTAAAACTTAAGATTGGCTCCTTTAAAAAAAACACGTTAGTTTTTTATGATGAGCTCACACTCATCATTGTTTTTGGGACAATTTGAGGTAATCCTTTGTAGGGCCATTTAGATCCCAGCCAAGGATTCACCTCAGCTGTCAGGTAAGACGGAGCCCCAGGTTGATGGAACCTGGTGTCCCTGTTCTGGACCAAAGGAAGGCTTCAGGATCATGGCAGGTGTCTTCAGATATGGGATATTGAAAAACAAAAAGGTAAGTTGATTTTCCCTGGAGGGTGTCAAGGTGTAGATCAGAAATGCGGGGAGAACACATTTTGTTTGGCTCATGTCGGGATTTGTTGATGTTGCTGTTCTATGGGATATTTAAGAGTGACTACATACACCTTCCAGTTTCCTTGAGACCGTGCACGGCAGGTCAGATGGAAGATCGTGATGTGGCCTTGCGAAGGAGGACCCTTGGTTCACTGCAGGACAGCAGGGGAGGTTGTTGGAGGTCCTGTTGGCGTCATAACCCCAGGCTGAGTTCTAACTCCGAGCACTGGGCTCTACGCGAATGGTTGCAGAACTGAACCCAGGGATTAGTCTTGCACAGACAAAGTGGTGTACCTGCTTCCCCAGTACTGTTACCTTGGGGAGGAAGCGAAGACCCTGTTACTCGTGTGTCACACTGTGTGGAAGGATGACAGGATGTGATGCTGTACTGGCATGTCTCGATCCCGTTGAGGCCTACAGTAGGAGGACCGGGTGCCTGTGGGCAAGGGTCGGGGAGGGGCTTCTCATGTGTAGAATAGGACCTTTTTTCCCACTGCTGTTCAGTCACTTGGGGGAGAAGTTTCCGGCGTAGAGTCTGGTGCCTAGAAGGTAGGACTTCGGCACTACTCTGTCACCTCCAGATCTGAGGAGTGTGAATGATTTGCAATCAGTGGTGGGATTCAGTTGGCAAAGGAATGTGGTTCATTTGTGTTTGTCTTTTTTTTTTTTTTTTACTATTATGCACTTGTATTTGTTAAAAAGAACCAGAGGCATATATTGAAGATCATGGATGACCACTTTCATCGTTTTGTCATACAACCCAAATGCTTACATATTTATTGGTTATTTTGTTAATTAAAAAATGACTTTGATTTTGTCTGGAGTATAATTTTGCGAAGTGATCTATTTGTGTGTGTGTGTGTGTGTGTGTGTGTGTGTATGTGGTGAGCGTGCATCTTCTCTCTCCTAACTGTGGTCAGCTGATCATTAAATACTTTGGAGAAGAAAGGGAAGTTGCTAAGCTTCTTCTGTCTTTTCTGCACCTATTCAGGAAGGGAAATTTGGGCATGATGAGAGCACTAGGAGGAGGAGGTCTGCCTTGACATTGGAGAGCATGTCTCGGTGCCCTGTGCTTTGGCAGACGTTTAAAGCTCTCTCCTTCTGTTGTGAACCCTCTGATGCATTTCTCTGAGGCAGTTTCCTCTTTTCTCCAGTCCCTTGGCATGTCTTGCCAGCAGTGCCCTTGAGATGTGCTGTTCACAGTCCTGTCTTGGCAATACTCTTGTTCCCTCAGCTCCTGGACAAGTAGGCACACTGTGGGTGTCCCCCTGTTGATGTCTCGTCACGCTTCAGTGGCCATCCTGGCAGGTTCCCAAGATAGCGCTGTGCTGCCTGTCTTGCCTGTGGCCCACCTCTGGCTCACCAGAAACCTTCCTGATAGCTTTGCTAAACGGACTCTTGAAGTGCTGGTATTCAGTGTGGTAAGACTTACTCTTCACACAGGTACCGTGACCAATTTCTCCGTCCTTAAATTGCTGAGGTATGAATTAGCCACCAACTAACTGCAGGAGACATGGGTTGAACTCTTTAAGGGGGTACCCTTAACCTGGTCTGGGGTTAGCAGATTGAAGCCCTCATCACATTCTTTTTTCTTGGTGGGGCAGAGTGGAAAGTAGGATCATAGCACACACTTCTCAAAGAACTCTTCAGAAATCCTTCCTCTATGTAATCCTCCATGAGAGGTCTTCAGCACCAGATCCTTTTAAAAATCAATCAGTCTTCTATTATCTATCTATCATATCATCTACCTTCCAGTATAGCTAAAGGACGGTGTTAGGTTAGTTTCAGGGGTATAGTAAAGTGACTCAGCAAATCTGTACACTCTTCGGTTCTCACCATTATAACTGCACTCTCAATCCCCTTCACCTCTTTCCCCCATGACCCCACTCACCTCCTTTCTGGTGACCAACGGTTTGTTCTCTATACTTAAGAGTCCGTTTCTTGGTTTGTTTCCTGTTTTCTTTGTGTTGTCTCTTAAGTGGTATTTGTTTTTCTCTGACTTACTGCACTTAGCATTGTACTCTCTAGATCCATTCATATTGTTGCAAATGGCAAGATTTCATTCTTTTTCACAACTGAGTAATACTCTACTGTGAACACATCTTCTCTATCCATTCATCTACTGTGGGCACTTGGGCTGCTTCCATAATTTGGCTGTTGTAAATAATGCTGCAACAAACAGAAGGGTGCATACATCTCTTTAAATTAGTGTTTTCATTTTCTTTGGGTTAACACCCAGTATGGAATGACTGGATCTCTTGGTAGTTCTATTTTCAGTTTTTAAAAGAATCTTCATACTGTTTTCCACAGTGGTTGTACCAGTTTGCATTCCTGCCAACAGTGTATGAGGGTTTCTTTTTTCCCACATCCTTTGCCAACACTTGTTTTTTGTGTTTTTAATTTTAGCCATTCTGACAGGTATGATGTCATATCTCATTGTGGTTTTGATTCCAGTTGCCCATCAGTGAGCTGTTAATATCTGCAATCATTTTTATTAATCCAAAGCCACGTGATTGCAGATATTAACAGCTCACTGATGGGCAACTGGAACCAGAAATTTGAGAAGTAAACATAGTCATGGACTCAGAACCCGAGATTCTAAGATCCCTGAAGGAAGCAATATGCGGAAAAGTGATTTGATCGTAGCTATACTTTTTATCCAGGGACTCACTAATTCTTAAGCAGTGAGAGGCAAAGAAGCCAAGGAGGAAGCAGTTACAAAGAGGTTGAGAAGCTAAGCGGATTTATTGGTGGTCTCATGGTCCTGGAATGTAAAAATTGGGGTTCAAAGCCCTGGTAGACACCTCAGGTGATACACTGGTATTCCTGATGGACTATATGCTAGGAGAAAGGTTAAAAAAAAAACAGTCCTAAATAGACTAGATGTTATTAAGACTGAAACCCAGTTTTGAATGAGCTTAACTCTACTTTGAGTGATAAAATGCGTTGTTATTCCAACCGCCTCCAGGAAGCTTTAAAAGAAGAAAAACCTAAAATACCCTGGAGGAAGATGACATCAACCTGAGATTATACCAGTTTTCATAAATCATTCCCATAATTTAATAAAACATTACCAGTCTTACCGTGAGACAGGATCAAGAAGAAAAACAGACAATAGAAAAAGGTCCTGAAGCTGTTAGATCTACGTGTGGAAAACAAGAACAACAACAAAAACCCTGCAATAAATATGTTTATAAGCATAGATGACAAAATATAGGATTTTACCAGAGAACTGGAATCCATAGAGTAGAGTCAAATGGAAATTTGAGAACAGAAGCCTGTGATAGCTAAAATTAAGAACTAAATAGATGATGTTCACAGCAGATTAGAAATAGTAGGACAGAGTATAGGTTTGTAGAACTATCCTGGCTAAATTATAGAGGGAAAAACACAGGAAATAGAATAATGAAAAAGTCTAAATCATTTGCAACTGGAATCCTAAAAGGAAAGGAGATAGGAAATAGAGTAGGAGCACTATTTGAAGGGATAGTAGCCCAGAATTTTCCGAAACGTCTAAAAGTTACTGCATGAAGATGTAAAGCTACAAATTCAAGAAGCTTTGCAAACCCCAAAGAGAGTAAGTATACATAACCACATTATAGCAAGATCTTAAAAGAAGCTGGAGAGAAAAGATATATCATCTTCAAAGGAGCAAAAATAACATTGACTAGTAAATTCTCATTAGAAGATAATGAAACGACCTGTTGAATATCTTGAATGAAAATAACTGTTACAATAGAATTCTCTACCTATTGTATTGAAAAATAGCCTTCACATGTGAAGGTGAAATAAAGATGTTTTTAGACAAACAAAAACTTCAGAACTCTTTGCTACCTGAACAGTGTTCAAAGAATTGCTAAGGGGATTTCTTCAGGTAGAGGAAAATTGTCCCCATATGGAGGATGGAAACGCGAGAGGAAATGAAGAGCAGCTGAGAATAGAAATGTAAGTGACTCTGAGCCACTTAAAGCAATAATAGTAAGATTTGTGGGAATTAAGTATACGTAAAATTAAAAGAGAGGGAAACCATGACATGAAATTTGGGAAGGGAGCAAATGGAGCTAAAATGATCTAATGTTTTTGAATTGCCTGGAAAATCATAGAAGTAACTAACTTACCTTTGACTTTTCTGAGTCAGGGATGCGTGTTGTCATATTTAGGGTTACCGTTAAAAGCATAATAAAAAATTATATAACAACTATCATAGAAGTAGAATAACAATAAAATACTTGATTGATTACAAATAAC